TTTTTGAAGTATTTTAACATTAGCCTTTATTTTCAATTGACCTTTTTACAAGTTTCATTTATAAAAATACTTATTCTCTCTTTAAATGTTTGTTTGTCATAAACGTTTTGTCTCCTTCTAACATTTATATCCCACTATAAGTGTAAGATAACAAAAGAAAAAAAAATGGTCTGAGTCTATCTATGATAACAGAAAGAGAAGAAAAAAAAGATTACCACAGTAAGAATACGAATCTACCATGGCAGTTATAACATGGGTAGGTAGTATATATTATTTGAAAAAGAAAGTAATTTTTATATTTTGATTTAGTCGGAAGTTCGAACATTACGTGAACGTCTTAGTGACAATGAACATGAAGTTAATGATGCGATATTCTCTATAAAGGCAATTCCAATTAATAATTATGATCATAGTATAAATTCTTCATTACATGAATCAATAGTTCAAGAAAATACTCGTTTAAAAGAACGTATTGATGAATTTATATTTAATGAGAAAAATCTTACTGAATTAAATGAAGATTTACAACGTAGAATTCAAGAATATGAATATCGATTACAACGTCATGATAGTAGTAGTAGTAGTAGTACTAGTTCAAATGAAACAGTTATAACAACTAGTACTCATATGGAAACACTTCGAAATTTAACAAATGAAGCTGACGCATCACAAAGAAAATATGAAGATTTAGAAGAAAAATATGAATATGAAAAACATGAATTACAAACAATGATTGAACAATTACGTGAGGATGTTATTGATTTAGATAAAACAAAACAATTGTATATTGGTATAAATGAATTTTTCTTTTGTTTTTTCAAAATTAATTTATTATTTCTATTTAGATGTTTGTCAGGAGAAAAATACAATTGAAGATACATTACGAACAAAATTTGAATTTGAATTAAAAACAAAATTAGATGATTTATATAAAATACTTGAACAAGACTATAATGAAAAGCTTTTATTATATACATCTGATCCAAAAAATATCAAACCAGGAACAATTAATAAAGATTTAGAACAATCATTAACAAGATCGTATGAAGAAAATAAAAGACTAAAAGTTGAACACGATAAACAAATTACAGAATTAAACAATGAACTTGATAGATTAAGAACGAATGGTAAGTTTGATTTTATTTTAACAAATCATCGTCGTTTCTGTTATTGAAGAAACGTCAGGTTTTCAATTTATTTCTTTCAAATATTTACAAAGATGAGAATAGTAGACACGAAAAAGAAAAGAATGAGTCAACAGTACCTGACTGGTTAAAAGAGCAACATAAAAATACTGATATTTACGCACATATACAAAGGCGAAGACAAGCTATTTACATTTATGTTATGAATAATCGACAGTAAAAGAGAATGTTTACAATCTTATCTGATTATTTTTTCTAATGAACGTGATGTAGCTTCACTATGAACAGAAAGATACAATTTATATCTTTTCTATTCAAATAGACGAATAGAGTTGATCTCCCAGTTTTTTCATAAAAATTTATAAGTAATTTAATCACTCACCTCTTAAATGTATTCTATAGATGATGCTAAAAATCGTTTAATCTATATTGAAAAAGAATTTGAACAATTAAAACAAGATTATTCGAATTTAAATCTAAAACAAAAAGAATTATTAAATACATGTTCAATTCTTGAAAATGAAAATGAACAATTCAAACGAGAAAATGTTCAACTGAAACAAAATTTTGAAAAAGAAAAAGAAAGATTTTTAAATGAAATCAAACAATTAAATGAATTAGCTGAGTATCAAAAACAAGAATTATCATCTTTACATAATAATATTGATCATAATCATACGAGTTTAAAACAAGAAAATCTTCAATTAAAAGAAAATTTTGACAATGAAAAAGAAAGATTTTCAAATGAAATTAAACAATTAAATGAATTAATTGAACAACAAAAACAAGAATTATCATGTTTACATGAAAATACTGATCATAATCATATGAATTTAAAACAAGAAAATCTTCAATTGAAAGACAAAATTGACAATGAAAAAGAAAAATTTTTAAATGAAATTAAACAATTAAATGCATTAACTGAACAACAAAAACAAGAATTATCTTCTTTACATACAAATAATGATGGTAATCATATGAATCTAAAACAAGATATTGAATCTTTACAATTACGTATAAATAATTATGAAAATGATATTACACAATACGAAGAATTACGTGTTAAATTAGAAAATAATTTACAAAAGTTAACAAAACAACGCGATACATATAAAATGGATTTAAAATTAACAAGAGAAATATTAACAAATACAGAAAATGAATATAGTCAACTTAAAATACATTTTGATGAATGTGAAAAACAATTACAAAATACTAGAGAACACATTAAACGAAATCAGTTACGATCACCATTACCAACTATTCAGGTAAATTATTATTTCGACAGTCAAAATTCTTACAAATAATCTCTCTCAACAGAATCTTGAAAAAATGACGATACGAACTACTAAAATAGTTGTAATCGATCAATAGGGTCCGACGGGATCAGGGCTTTTCATCTCGATCCTGATCCCGGCAGGATATTTTTTCGAGATTTTCAATGCTGTTACCATTCTCTGGGTATACAATTCATCCAGACTTAAAACCCATTAATCTATTTACTCGGTATTTTGATCCCGCTTTTCACGGGATAGAAATTGGGACAGTTCCGCTTGACCCTACCGATTGGGGAAAAACTTCACCTGTTCGGCCTTAAAATCTTTTTAGATCAGTGAGGACTGACCGGTTAAGCAGTGCCCATAGGTTATAACTCTATTATGTCTTTCAAATCGAACCCGAGTGTTTATTTAACGAGACATAGTTGTTCATCTATGTTTTTACTCTATTGAAAATTTTAATTGTTGTATTTTATTCATTAAAACAGGATACTGAACATGAATATGAGGAAAAAATACTATCTCTTGAATCTGAAAAATGTAAATTTGAACAACGTTTACAAGAAGCAAATCAAGCACTTGATTTAGCCGATTCTCATTTACAACAAGAAATTCAAAAAATTAGATTAAGTCTTGAACAAGAATATAATCGTCGTTATGAACATGATCAAAGACAACATCAACATGAGTTAGCACAATTACGAAAAGAATTAACTAATCCAACTGAAAAACAACATGTTGTTAATACATCAAATAATATTTATCAAGATACTGAAGATATTAAGAAAATGTATCGAACAGAAATTGATCGTTTATCTCGTAAGATTAACATTATAAAACTAAATCCCTTGTAAAATTTCTTTTTTTTAAGATGAAAATATTGAATTAAGTCAACATCAAGCAAAACTTATTGATACTCATCAAAAACAAATGCAAATAATGAAAAAAGAATTAGATGATGGTTATAATAATGTTATTAATGAATTTCAACATGAACAAACCCGTTTACAGACACGATGTGATCAATTAAAACAACAATTAATAAATGCACAACAAGTTATTGAACAATTAAAATCCAATTTAAATCTATTAAGACCAAATCAATTTGAATATGATGATAAAAATCGAAAGGATAATTTACAAGCTCGTCTTGAAAATCTTATTAAATTACTTGAACAATCCAATGATGCGTAAGAATCTATATTTATTCTGAATAATGACAAAAGTCTTATTTTCTTTTACTAGATTGAATCAAGAACGAATGTTACATGCTAAACAAGAACATGAATATCAACAAACAATATCGTCATTACAAAAGAAAATCGCTGATATGATAAAACAACATATCGAAGCGGTTGGTGAAATTAAACGTGAACTTTATCATGAACGTTCAACAAATACAAGACAAATGGTACCACGACCAACAAGTGTGCCAGAATTTGCAGAAGTATGACTTCATAGCTTTTCAACGAATAAATTACATTTGTTTTTCTTCATATTATCAGAACGATTTGTTAGCAGATGATATGAAATACAATTATCCTACTACTATTGCAAAATTACGAGGTAAAAATCCCATATTAAAGAAAACTTTACCATTCATTCAACCGAGAGAAAGGTAGATAGGAAAAACAAATAAAATGCTGCTCATTATTTGCTCAACGAGATTAAGATTTTGATTGATATAAATTGCTTATCAATGTAATTATATTCATTTTTAGAACTTTTTACAATTGAAATGATTGCTCTATTACGGCTAACTTGCAAAATGATTTTTGATGTGCATCATAAAGGTATCTTTTTATGAATCTAACAGATTTAATTCCATTTTTTGAAATAATATTATCTTCATAATAAATTAATCCTTGATTTTTAAAGTTACAACAGCGCTGTATATGGACAATCTCGAATCCCAATTAAAAAAACAAATCCAAAATGAATTAATTCGAAGTCGCAATTCAATGATTAAAGAAATTCGGCGAGAAATTCTGGAAAAAATAACCCGTGTTTTAACAAGTCAAAAAGTGTATGATTGATTTTCTTTCAACTATAAATTCATTGAAAAAGAAATAAATTCTAGGCCAGATACTATAATTGATAAATATGTATTCGAATTAGATCGTCTTCTTTCCCAAATGGTTCAAGATTGTTCAAATTCTTCTTCTAATTCTTCTCTACTTCCACTGAACTCCTCAAATTTATCTATTCAAATAACTCCTCAATCTCGACATAATCGTGCCGTAATTTATCATTCTTTACCAAGTAAATCAACACCACCAATAAGAAAATCAATTGAATGTCTTTATATGACTCCAACAGTAAATAAACAACCATTATCAATAACTCCACATGGTCATCGAACACTTAATAATGATAGTCGACCGAAATCAGCATCATATGCGATGATAAATAATCGACATTCATTATCATCAACAAATCAACCTCCATATACACATAAATTTCAACAATTACCAAATAAAAATCATAAAACAAGAACACATAGAAGTGAAGATGATTTAGTATTAGGTGTACAAACAAAATCTAATCTAGATAATGATAAACATCAACAAGAAAAAGTTCGAGTTTCAACAAAACAATATGAACAACAAACAAATTCATTACCTGGTTATTCTCGTTCTAAAACTCGAATGTCTGATGGACAATGTACGATTTCACCAACACGAATGAATAATGAAGAAGAAAATGATGAGAAAAAGGAAGTGATACTATCATCAACAACAAGTCCTACAATACATACAAGTGGAATTAAGAAATTTGTCCTTAGTGGTTTAAAATTATTTGTTACAGCACCATCACAATCGAAATGAGTAGGAAAATAATTTATCTGTGCACTTTAGCTTGTCTTCCAAATCGTCTGATTATTTTTATTTTTTTCTATTTTTACATGCTAGTTTCTCATTCATTGTTTTGCATCTTTCGAATAAATTGATAGAATGATTTGTCTCATACTATTTTTGTTCATTACCGGTTCGTTTTTTCCTATTTCATCTATATAGTTGAATTTCTAAATAAATAAAATTCATCAAAATATTTAATCGATCTTCATCATGCTATGTATCTAATAGCAAGTATATTTATTGAAATTTTTTACATATCGAAGGTAAAAACAAGTCGTCGTAGGTGGAGAATGACAAATATTATGTAGTTTTTTATTTGCTGCAGAGGATTAAATACAATAGTAAATATACATTTGATACTCTTTGAAAAAACACCAGCTGTTGTTGTGATTTTTCGATTGATATGAAATCGTTGAATTATCAATCACGATATCCATCATTCATATGTTCAATGTAGATTGGGTATAATTACAACTGTCATTGAATCATTAAATTTAAGAAGCATTAAGAAATTCACATGACTATTCGATATCAAAATTTATAAAACATATGTGATGATTTTCGTTATACTGCACACTACTTACAAGTTAGAGTATGTCTATGTTTATTTTAAACATCAAGAATCACATCTGAACTGGTGTAATATGAGAAATGATCGTCAATACAATAATAGAAAAGTACTGGATGTACGAAAAAATTAGAAAGTGAACAAAGGTCACATCACGCCGTACAGGTATGATACACATATTAACCGCATACGTGGGGAAAGTATATGTGACGGATGAATAAATTAACCGTGTGATTCGGTAGTAGACATACAAGGAGAAAAGTCTTTAGAAGAGATAGAGATTAGAAAAAAGAGATTAGAAGTACATTCGCGATCATTTTCATTCAAGGATAAATAATAAACCATGAATCGCTATACCATACATCGATCAATTATAGTATATTTTTTAATGAACATGAAATTGTAAATTTTCAAGTATCTGATAGATATTATCATTGTATTGAATCAGTTTTTCATACAGAATACCATCGGTCCCTTAGCTCAGCTGGTTAGAGCGCCGTGCTAATAACGCGGAGGTCATGAGTTCGATCCTCATAGGGACCAGATTTTTTTTTTAAAAAAACAATATTATTATATACGATCAATTATTTTTTATTTCAAAAGAAAGTAATAAAAACAAACATGACGTCATTATCATTAAAAAAGAGAAAGCACAATACACATGAACGTACATTCTACGTCTATTGCTTATATAAAAGATCTATTTTATGACTGGAAATTTGTTTATAAGATGAGATGAACAAAAGAAAAACATCAATACATAAAACAAATGTGAAAGAACAAAACAACATGACAATAGAAATATAACCAGGTTTTGCGGTCTAGTCGTTATTATCGACCGATCCTGAGATTGCTTAATAAAAAATGAGAAATAGAATATTTTTATGTTTACAATTAAAAACAAGACAACAACAATAATAGAAAAAATTGACCTAAGTGATGATAAAATTTAAGAACAAAAAAAAAAAAGAAAAAAAAAAGAAAAACACCGCATATATTTTATTTGATCTTTTTCTGTTCATCAGTTTTGATATTTGTTGGCTTTTGTTTTAATAAATAATTTACGAAAAAGAAATGAAGAAATAAACCAAAATAAACAGCATACATAACAAATGACCAAAATATATTTGAATAAGCAACTCTACATGGTGCGTTTGCTTCTTTATAAACATAAGCTTTATAATTAACAAAACACCCAACAACCATTTGTGACAATTGAAAAATAGTTACTGTTACTTGTACCCATTTAGGTATACGAAATTTCATTGCACGAAACGCATAATATGAATACATCATGGCTAGACACGAAGAAAAAAAAAAACATGATCGTTATTTTTACAAATTAGTTATGCGGTTTTTTTTAAATACATACCGTGAACTGTATAATTCATGAATACGAACCATCGTCCACTGGCTGTCCAATCATGATAGCTATGAAATATATATATATGTTTATGTTTGTATTCAATTAAAATGAGAAATTCGTTTTTTCATACCTGTACCAAGCATAAACTAAAACAGTGGCATGATGAAACCAATGAAGAAAAATTAATTTTTGTTTTCTTAACACTATAAATAATGTATCGATGAGTTCAGGAACTTTTGATATACAAAATATTGTTATCCTAATAAGAATAAAAATAAATTTTCAACAAAAGAAAAAATAATGTCACGCACCAATAACCAGTTATACCATAAATATTGCTTCGATCACATATTGTATATTGCAAACCTTGTTTATTTAAACTATATAACATTTCCGGTAGACAACGCAGCATACCAAATATACTAAATATTGCTAAACCTAAATTCCAAAATATTAATGGTAGACGTAGTTCAAAACGTTCACGAGACACCATCAATGATCGTCCATAATAAATTAAAATAACATAGATTATTGAATAAACAATACTTAACCACCACCATTTATTCATCCATGCATAAATATTTTGAGCATAAGTTCTATCAAAAAATTTCAATTCAAATTCGAATACTAAAGGATGATGTAGACCATTTGGATCGCGTATCCATGGTGTTACACGTAATTGATTTAGATTAAAATATTCTCGTAAAAAACGATTTTGATATAACGATTGAACTGTTTCCATTAATAAAATAACTTATCTAAATAGAAAAAAATATATATAAATTATATATTCTTGCTAATAGATTTATATTATGTCTAAAGGACAATATTTTTTACAATGTGAAAAATACGGTCTAAATTTTCTTCCTTCTTCACTTCATTTAGAATTTCATTCATGTGAAACGAACGACTGTGCATCGACGTACGTATATATTATATTTTTTCATCTCAATATTGGGTTTCTTAGTAAAGAGAAGTGAGTAATGTCATACATCGTCGTTTGGGACAATTGTGTGTATAGGAGCGACGGAGGCGCGTGTATATGCATGTCTGCCGAAGTAAGAAAAGAACGAAAGAGAAAAAGAAAGAAACGAGAAATATTTTTATCAAATATATGTCATTATGAATACAATACAAAACCAATATACATGACAAACTTTATATTGATTTGAGGACTTTTTTTCTCTCTCTAATTTACCTTGGTTACCATACACAAGAAAAAAAACGAGACCAATATTTATAACTACTAATTTATTGAATTCAATTCAAACATTGACGCATACAATAAAATGTCACAAAAAAAAAAACAACATAGTGGACGGAAATATATCATACTTTTTTCCATTTAGTAATAACTAGCATATGGCATTCAAGTGGAATTACAAAGTAAAGAAAAAAAAACTTAAACAAAAAACAATTGAGATCATACGAAGTGTTATTAACTACACACTGCAAAATATCACACTGCTTGAGATTTCTTTTTTTTCATTCCTGATTTATTGATTTAATTAGTGGTTGTGCTGCTGGTCTATGACCATATGTTTGTATATACTGTTCAAGTTCTTGTTGAAGAAAAGCAATACGTTGTTGTAAATAAACGACTTGTTGTTTTAATGAATGTATTGTATTTTCTAAATCAATTCGAACATCATTCGCAAGAAGACCTTTTAAATTATTTTCATATGTCAAACGACAATCAAGTAATTCATGTTTATGTTGTTCGTTTAAATATGATAATTTACGTTCAAGTTGTTCTTTTTTTAATGTTAATGTATTAACATTTTTTTCAAGATTTTTCATACATGAATCAAATTGCTGAAAACAAAAGAAAAGAGATATAAGAATTTGAGAACTTAATTATTCAACATACAGCTTTAATTTCATTTTTTTCACGAGCACATTGTTCATTTAATATAGTCGATTGCTTATCGAAAAATACTTTTGATTTATTTTGTTCATCTTTCAATACTTGAATCATTTTTTGTTGATCATTTATAATTGATTGTTGTTTTATATTACGTTCTTCAAATTCATCTGAAATTATATTTTAATAGAATAATAAGAAAGAAATATAATTTTAGTTTGATTAACAAACCTTCAATTGATTTTAATTGTTCATGAGTTTTTGTTACTAAAATTTCGATACGTTTTTCATATTCATCAGCTTTTTGACCATATTGTTTTTCAATTTTTCGAATAAATTGTTCATATTCATTAATAAGCTATTACATAAAAAAAGGAAATGATTAACATTTATTTTTCACTAGAATAGAAATAAAGAAATGAAACCGGAAATTACATTATTCATAATAATGAGATAGACTTATATAAAAGTAAATAAATGAGAATATAGATAAACAAACCTTTTGTTTTTCATTTTCATGTGTATGTTTTTTTTCAACAGATATTTTATCAATATGTTGTAAATCAGATTTCAATTTTTCTTCATGTTTTTCAATTGATTGTTCATATTTACGTTTAAGTTCATCAATTTCTTTATTAAAATTTGTTCGTAATTTTTCTTCATTTCTAAAAATCAATTCATTATAAATTTATTTTTTGTTAATAAAGTTTAAATTATTAATACGAACTGTTCTTTTGCTTGTGTATATTCAAGTTTAAGTTTATCACAAACTTTTGCATGATCACGATTTAAATTTTCGATTAATTGTTGCTCATTTTGACGTGTTTTATCATTTATTTCTTGCATCTAATTAGATAAAAAAATTATGAATAAACCCTTTCTTTCTGAATTATATACGATGAAATATAATCTGTTCGATTTTAAAAAACAGTTGTTTATCATGGCGGAACTGAAAAATTCTTATCTACTTGTAGCAGACATATGTTCATTAGATGATCTTGATTTTTGTTTTCTTAAAATATTCAGCGACAGATTCAAAAAAGGATGTATCAATAAAATTCAAATTTTAACCCTTTACGTACTAGTGAGGCTTATAAGCCCCACTCTTTTTGAAAATTTGATAGATTTCGAATGCAGAGCGATAATGAAGTGTGACTTTCACTACGACATAGAAGAGACTTTGACGCAAATATTTAAGTAAGATTAACGCATTCACTGTCCGGTGCATCATATGTCATGCACGTTACTTTCCACTAAACAGTCTTCGTATCACGTACAACGTGCCTATAGCATAGGATATCTTAAGCTAGAATTTATTAGACATTACCAATCGATCATTCTTGAAATATAGGACGTATGAGAAAAATATAAATAACATACTATTATATTAAAGATAATAAAAAAGGGCGTACAACACGTATTATTTTTTTCACATGGGACAGTGAACGTGTTAAAAGCCCTGCTGAGGTTACTGAGTTAGTTTTTGGCTTCCGTCCGTACACCTCCAAGGAAGTGACTAAAATATTTCTCTCCATTTCCGTAGGAGGGTTTGAAATATGTTTTGAAAGTGTCAATAATACTCAATGCTCATATAAAATATCAAGTTTTAAAGAGATTTCGTCCATAGGTTGTGAATCATGAGTCTCAAAGGGTTAATACTTGCAAGATCGCATCGTTTCGTTCGAAATATTATTCTAACACAGTGAATAATCAGTATAAAAAAGATATTAGCATTACTCATTAAATTCAGATTTGATATTTGCTTAAACCGCTTATATACTAGTAATACCTGACAATTTTTTCTAGTTAAATTGATATATTTTTTCTAAGGATTAGCTTTCTGCAAATGCTTCTGTGCGTAGGAAAAAAAAACCTTACTTTATCATGAAATTTTTTTTCTAAATCACTTTTAATTTGTGCAAAAGCTCGTTCACTTTTTTCAATTAAATCTCTTTGTTGTGTATATGTTTCATTAAATTGTTTTAATTCATAATTTTTTTGTTTTAATTCATTTTGTATTTGTTCATTTTGTTGTATTGATACGTGATATTTTTCATTTAATTGTTTTAAATCTTGTTTTAATAATTGTATTTTTTTTTCATAATCATTTTCACATTGTTGAATATTATTTTGATATGTTGTTTGTTGTTCATTGATTTTTTGTTCAAATAATTTTTGCATATCATAAAATTTTTCTGTTATAGCTGATAATTGTTTTTCTAATTCATCAATAGTTTTTGTTGCTTTACTTTTTGTTAAATCATTTTCTTTACGTAATAAATCAACACCTGATTCACAACGAAGACGAAGAGATTTTAATTCATTTTCATATCGTTGAATTTGATCAGCATGATCACGATCGACATGACGTAATTTATTTGTTAATTCTTGAAGCTAAATTAACAAAACGATTTGTTTTTTATTCAAATCTAGTTCAATCAATTATCTCTAATTTATGCACTAATTTTATGTAGATTAAAGAAAAATATTTCGTGACTAAGTTTAATTTGAACTTAACAACGTTTCAAAGCATTTGAGAATGTAAATATTATGTAAGATACAGTTGCTCTCATGAGATATAGAAAATGTCGTTATCATATCATTGATATAAAGAAGTTCAACATTCTCGTCCTATATACTTCAGTCAGATCATATTCCCTGAATGAGAATCACGTTTCATTCTACTTAATATGCTCGGCAACTGAGTAAATTATCGATATAATAGTGGCATTCGTATTTTAAATGATAATTCTTGTAATTTACTCTGTATATAAAATGTTTATTATGTAATAGCTGTACGTGAGTAGGTAACGAATAGCACATATTTTAATTTATAATGAAAAAGAGAGATTCCTATACTTCGTGCTTCTGCATAAATAATAAGTTAAAACTTTACTTGTAATTGAAATTGATCATTATTTTTAATTAATGAATTATTTTCTTCATCAAGTTTTTGTTTTGATTGTTGAAGACGATCAATATTTGATCGTAAATCTACCATTCGTTTTTCCATTTCATTTATTGTTGAATCATGCGTTGATTGTTGAGATTTATAATCACTTTCCATTTTTTTTAAACGCTAAATAAGAAACGGATATTAGTTTTTTTTGCTCAAATCTATGTATGTATTTACTTGGTTCGTTTCATCTAATAAATCTTGATGTGTTCGTGAATTTTGTCGTCGTATTTCTTGTTTTTCACTTTCATGAAATGCTCTTACTTCATGAATTTTTCGTTCCATTTCATTTTGTAAATCTTTTAAATGTTCTTGAATTGTTATCTAATATAGAGAAGAAGAAATTTAGCAAAAATAAGTTTTTATTTTACTTGTTCAGCTTTAATTTGTTGTTTTTGATGTTCTGTATCAAATTTCAATCGTTTATTTTCTTCATTAAGTTGTTCTAAAATCATTTCTAATTGTTTATTACCATCTTCTAATGTAGTTAATTTTGTTTCATAACGAGTTTTCAATGCTTCTAATTCACTATGTCTTGATTCATTCATTCGTTGTACTGTTGAATCATATTCTTTTTGCCAAAGAAGACGATGTTCACGAAGACGTGTTTCAAATTGACGAACAAATGAATCAATATCATTTGTACTATTACGCATTGCTGATGATGGACGTCGAGGTTGATGTGTTGGTGGTAAACCATAATCATTTGAATGTAAAGGTGCATTTAAATCATGAGCTGATAAAGATCTATAAGGTTGTAGCTGCTGTTGTTGTTGTTGTGGTAGTTGATAACGATTATTTGTTGTTAAAGATGATGAAACAGATAGAATACGTTGAATAGATTTTAAACTATTAGGTTTATTATCATCATCAAAGCTTGCAGATCTTTGTAAATTGGGTGGTGGTTGTTCATCAAGAAGAAATAAGCTTTCTTCTTGTTCAGCAATTGGGAATGAACTCATATTAGACACAAAAAAAAGAACACTTCAATAATGGAATAATAATGATGATGACTTAAACTCAGACAGATGATGCACACATGCAACCACAACTACCAACAGAGATTAAATAAACATATTTAAACATGCAAATGGAGAATTCAATCATAGATGGCGTTCACTTCTGCTAAAGTCATCAAAATAAAAATGACTATAATCACTATTTTAGATCTTTTTTTAAATTGAAATATGTATACGAATCTTAAAGATTAATTTAATAATTTTCTATAATTTCGATAATCGATATAGTTTATCGTTTTATTTCGAATATCATTTTATATGAAATAATTTTGTAGCTGAATGAATCTGATCATCCTTTCCATTTCGCTATACGGAGATTTTTCATGAAATTTTAAACACTGGTTTTCTGTAAAGAACGATTATTGTAGATACTTTAAGTCGTAGGTGAAACCGGAACTAAATCGGTTCACTTCCGATTACATTTCCTTTCTTTTTAAAATGAATATAATCACTCAATGTATACAATAGTCGTTATGTGCTATTTCTTTTACATAGAACATTGAAAGCCGTTTTAGTAAACTTCTGATGATAGATGTTTTTCTAAATTATAGAAATTTTCTTTTTGTTTCACGTAAACAATTAAAACTAAATATTTTATTAGTAAAAATATCTAGAATCTCCAAAAATGGAACATATCAAGTACTAGAATTATTTTTATATTTGACAGATGTGTCATTGATTTATTTATGTACATTAAATAATGGAATTCGACGTGCGTTTATTTACAAAATGAATCTCTAGAACTGTTTTAATTTCAAAATCAAAAATAATGATTGTAAATTTGTTTAAATCTAAAGCAAAGTAAGATTATAGATCATTATTTAAAAATATATTCTGTCACATAAATCATTCTGTATACTGATAAAAACGACTGTTAATAAATTTCGTTTATCATCATTTACGACTCTTTACAAGCAATTTATCTGTTCATATAGATATAACCGATATGAAATGTATTGCATAATGATTTAAAGTATTAGTTAAACATTTTCTATTAGAATAAGCATTGAAGATAAACGAAGAAATTTTTTTCTAGGTATGTATAATGATAAAAAAAGACAACACCTATTATTTTGAAAAGAAAATGTTTGATGTTGTTGCTAGTTGAATTTAATTTGTTAGATTTTCTTTTTCTATTTTTCTTTTTTCGTTGTCTCGTTCTCATCGCAATGACAACGTCAATGATTAGAAATACACACATACACTTTTTTCAAGTACACAAAAGCAGCTACATGCCATTTAATAGAATACAACCTAAATTTTGATTCTTTTTCTTTCTTTCTTTTTTCTTCTCCTCATTCATCGTTAAATGAAAAATGTTTTAAAAATTTTCTATTATTTTTTCAAAATCACCATCTTTCTTTTGTTATTGTTATTTATAAGAGGTAAGATTTTTTTATTTTTAATCCTTGCCTTTGTGATTAACAATATCATTTCCTTGACAATACTTTGTCTTTTGTCGATATCTTATATACACATACTTGCAAAGAGTAAAGAAATATGAAGATCATATAGAACAAAAAAAAAACAATATTTTCATTCATATTCTGTTTCTTTTTTTCTATACAGATATATCGAATTATGCCAGCGAGACCTGCGTCTGGAAAAAAAGGTGGAAAGGATGATAAAAAAGGCAAGAAGGGTGCTGTAAAAACCGGTGTAGCTGATCCAAATCAAGAACGAATTGATGGTTTAATACGTGAACGGGAAGAAATTCGTTCAAAATTAAATCTTGTCTGTTCAAAAATCATGGAAAATGTGAATATGGATGATTTTAAAAATGATTATGATTCAACAAAACAACAACCATCTGATATCCCTATTGATACTATATATTCCATGGTTGATCAAATATGTTATTATCGTGTTGCTTTTTTAAATCTTTTTCAAGAAGCTGATGATAATAAAAATGTATCTGTACACAAAAAAATAACACAATTATCCAATGATGATCCTGATCTATTTCGTCAACATCTTACACCATATCAACGTTTAACATTTACTATACGTGAACGTGATACATGGAAAGAAAATGCTCATTTATTACAAGAAATGTATACAACTATAGGCACGAAAATAAAATGATTAACGAAACATTTTTATAGATTCGGAAATCTTAAAAATAATCAAATATTTTTTTTTCTTTTAGTTGATCAACTAGAAATGGAAACACTTCAAAAATCCAAGACAAAAGCTGAAGATATTCTTAAAACACATCAACTTAATCTTGAAGATATTTGTTTTATATTTTCTTTACCACGTATTTTATCAAGTAAATTCATATAATTAATTAATTAAAAATAAAATACAATAATCCTGTTTTTTTTTGTTTAAATAGTTAATGAAGCTCAAAAATTACGTGCGAAAAAACCAGTTCATGACTCTCGTGATCAACAAACAACTGTAGATCAACAAGAAAATACAGATGATACAAATATTTCATCGAATGATATGGCATTAAAATCTCAATCATCAAATCAAAATAGTACTAATGAACGTCGTAATCAGCATTCAGCATCAATGAAACGAAATGTATCGTTTGCTGATGAAGTTAATGTACGAAATGATGATGATGATAAAACAGATTTTAATCATAACAATGAATTACCATCAACAGTCATGTCACATGAACAAACCGGTGAAGATAATTTTTCATCAATATCACTTGGAAATTCTCCATCGTTAATTTTATCAGATCGTAATTCAACAGAAGAAAGAATAAATGATAGTGATTATCATTCAATATCATCTGCATCATCACATCATCATCATCATCAACAACAACAATATGACGCACCTTCACAATCAACAAAATACAATTTACCATCAAAATATCGTCTTCCATTAGCTAGCGAAGTAACAGTAAATAAAATGGATCCAAATTTACGTATGTTAATTATTAAAGAACTTAGTAGAAGTGGTCATGTAGAAAGACCACTTTCACGAATGAGTAAGATTCAAATGATATTTTTTTTATTTTTTATTTTCAATATTTTTATTTAAGGTTCGGCTCGTCCTATAAATACTCATAATGATAAAGTCAATTCTCGTCAACAACAACGACAACAAATAGAAAATGTACCAGTAACTATATCACCAGAATGGGTAGAATTAGCACGACTAGTTGGAGTTGATGAACCAGAAATTGATCATTGGTTATCACAAAATCTTCAATATCCAGCAGGACGAGTTATTTCTGCCTGGTGTAATTCTTCTTCAACTCCAACTGTTGCTAAACTTCATTCTCTACTTACATCAAATGAACTAAATCGACATGACCTTGCTCGTTATATTGAAACAATGTATATTATTGAATAAGAATTAGACATTAACAACAACAACAAAAAAA